CCAGGTGTGACAGCCCTGGGGCTCAGACAGGCCACTCTGATTTTTCACTGGCACAGTGAAGGCTGGGGAGAGTGGAGCAGCACAGGGAGGGATGGAGGTTGATCTCTGGGTATTAACCACAGTCAGATGGGATTAAGCAGCTCTGATGTGCTATTGCACTGCAGGGTGACCACAGATAACAATAATGTACTGTGCATTTCCAAAAGCTAGAAGAGAGGATTTTGAATGCTTTTACCACAGAGAGGTGATGAATGAGGAAAAGATGTTTAACCTGTTTGGAACATTATACAGTATATACACGTATTCAAATATCACTTGGTATCCCCTTAATAGGTACAGTTTTATGTATCTGGTACAAAGAAATTTAACTTTAAAAATCTTTTACAAAAAAGAATATCCACTCCTGGGCTGAATCCTGGTCTCTCACAGGAGTGGGGGGCCCTGTCGGGTGTGTGTTAGTGTGGGGTGGGGGAGAGTGGGGGAGAGAGGAACAATGGTTTCTTCTTTCAGTTGTTGGCAGACAGGGTTAGGCCCTAGGACACATTTAAAATGCTGCCTTGTACTGTCTCAATTGAAAATGGAATGAAGATGGGGCGATAGCACACACCTGTGATCCCGGGGCTCTAGAGGCTGAGGCAGGAGGATTGCAAGTTCTGGGCTGTAGAGCGCGCACTTTTCTCAAAGACAAAACAAACAAAACAAACCACTCTAGCAACGATAAGGGAAATAGAATGAGTAGCCCGCTCCCTTGCTTATTAGTGTGTCATGCGCTTGTTTCAACCCTGCAGGCATTCCTTCCCCAGGAAATCGTGATGCTCTGTGACTGGACTCTGTGAGGAGGAGAGGGGGAGCTGATGCTCAGCCACAGGCTGCGGTCAGGGCTGCGGGTCCTGAAGACAAACTGACGTGTGGCTTATTGGATGTGGTCACACTGGCCTGCGTCGCCAGCCCTTGTCTCCAAGGATCTGGTATAAACAACGGCCTCTGGAGACTGGTGCGTTGCCCTGTGGGGTGGGTGAGGGAGTCACCTTTGAGTGGTGACGGCATCGGTCTGAGGGTGACTGTGTCAGAGATGCGGGCGGGTGGTGGTGGTGGAGGAAGCATGGGGTGGGGAGCAGGCTCCCCTGGTAACCGCTGAGCCCTGACACATGCTGGGGCATCGTAATGAGTGTACTCCACTCGCAGTGATCCACACGACAGGCATCTGTTAGGTGCAGAAAGTGTGCCCGGTACTGGGAGTGCAGAGATGAAAATGGGCAGGCCCTGTGCTAACCAAGCTCACGGGCATTTCTGTTCCAGGTGGTAGATTAGAAGTTCTGGCAGTGCTTTGTGAGGCCCCGTGTGACTTGGTCCCTGTTTTCTCTTCACGTCATCGCCTACTTTATCCCGAGCTCCCTCTGACACACTGGTCTTGCAGTTCTTTTGTCTTGTCTTGGTTTTTTATTTGTTTTGTTGTTTGAGACAGGGCCTTGCCATGTAGTTCAGGCAGCGATCTCCCTGCTTCAGCCTCCCAAGTGCTGGGACTAGAGGTGTGCTGTGCCACTCCTGGTTCTCTGTGGTGTTTTTAAAATGCAGAAGGCAAACTGTCACCTCTGACCTGTTATGAAAAGTGCCACTGGCCTTCTTCCAAATACCTTAATTTCCCTTATCTCGTTCTACATTTTCTTTCTAAAGTATTTATAACCTTCTACCATGGTGTTTGACTTTACTGCGTTTTACCTTTTATTAGCTGTCATTTCCTGTCAGAGTGAAAGCTCCATGAGAGCAGGAATCTATCTGTTAGGACAAGGTCTGTGAAATCCATGAGTAGGCAATGATGGGGTAGGCTGGAAAGTCATCCTGCCCTTCCCGGTTTCTGCGCCCAGCCTCTCAGGGACTTGCTGAGCGACTCCCCTGTCTGTCACTTGAGTCTCATCCTTGGCCTTGAGTCAGGGAAGCTGGGATGCAGAGGCCCTTCCGTCCTGCAAACTGCAGGAAGACCGAGGCTGCCAAGTCAGAGAGGGGACACGTGACCATGCCAGTCAGGGTTTTCAGGAACTTGGTTATCACAGCTTTGAAATAACTTAGCACAGGAAGTTCTTAAAAGAAGCCTTTGTCTTTTGTTTAGAGATCCAATTGCAGTCTTCCGAATATGACTTAAATTCCACCTGTGTGTTTGGCTCTGCTTCTCCTTCAAGAGGCTCTGCAGATCCAGCTCTCACTGTCCAGAGTTGGCATCTGAGCTGCCCACTGCCATGCTCAGGAATCCTGCCCCTTACTGGGTGTTTGAGAAAGTCCACAAATTCCACATGCCACCTCGGTTTCCTGCAGTCAGGACTGACTCAGATGGCTCTGCTGACCAGCTCTAGCCTTGTTCTAAGCACTTTTCTAGAGTGCCCTTTGCTCTAGGTTTCCCAGACAAGACCTAGGCCTTCTCAGTAAGCCTGCTCTTACTTCACACATTTTATAGAGGACCTGATGCAACCATAAGAGATTCATAAACCAGAAAAAGGAAGCTTAATACAGCAGAGCAGCCTCCAGTGCTCAGAGACCCCTGGCCATGCTTCTGGGGGTGGGTTAGTGTCCCTCCCTGGCTATCTCTCTCCTTATCCCCCAGCCTGGTGCATTGCTCCGGGATTTGCTCAACTCCTCTGCAGGAACATATTCCCTTTTCTAATTTGAATTAAATCCCAATCCCCAACTCTGCAATGGGTCCAATGGCCCTTTGTCCTTTGCTCTGAGGAGTGAAGTTTGCATCCAAGGTATGGTTGCTGACACTGGTGACCCCCCTGTCTGGCAAGATCTTCTCATACATCCTCATGCTCCAGGATGGATTTGTCATTCCAACCCCAGCTTTAATGACACCTCTGTAGAGAAGCTTCTCTGAACGCTCAGTCTAATTTTAGTATATGTGCTGCCGAAGCGAGCACTGAGTGCTCAGTCTAAACAGCACTCTCTCAATCTTTCCCTCCTCTCACCTGCTAAATCTGTTTCCCATTGTTCATCACCCTCTGAAAGTATCTTGTTTATTAATTTGTTTATTACTGTTTTCCATGTGGTGCAGCCTCCCCCAGCATTCTCCAGATGCGTCTGCTTCTACCCCTTCAACATAAAATGGAAGGTAAACTCCAGGAAAACAAGAACCTTATCTACCTTGTGACCGTTATAGCTCTGGGGCCTATAAGATTCTCTTCTGGCACATAACATTGCTCAAAAATATTTGCTGAATGATGGACAGCTCAGATCCCATCAGTATATTTTCTGGGTTTTGGAGAAAAGCCAAAAATTCATATTTTAAGTATCATTTCCCAATGTGGCACCTTATTGGAAAAATTAAAATATTGAATAGGTCAAATGAATGGTTTCTGTCAGACTATGCATCCTGCCAGCTTTTAGTTTGGGGGTCACTACCCTAAACTCACTGGGGATACTCTGAGGGCGGACCTAGAGAGGCTAGGACTGTTGAGGAGAAAGTGGTGAGAAAGGAGAGGAGGGAAATCCTTTTTCTCAGTGGACAGAGCATCTCCAGAGTAGGAGCCCCTGTCTACTCTCTAATACTGTCTCTGGGGAGCTGGTAAGATTTGGGGAGGCTGGAGGGCACATAGGAAGATAGACACTGTGGCTACAAGGAAATAGGCTCCCAGTCTTCTCTAAGGGCAGAAGACTCAGAGAGGTTAGAGTCGAGGGGATCATGTGGCAGGTACCATGCAGTAACCAGTTGCAAGGCTTGAGGCGCCTAGCTGAATATTTCATATTGTCAGCATCTCCAGTGCCCGTTGCACAGCTGTAAGGGGTACTTCAACGACTGGACTGGATTTTCCACAAGACTGAGAGTAGGGAGTCTTGGTGTCAGAGTATAGTCAACCAAACGGGCATGAAGTCATAATGCACTTACTATGTAACCAAGTCTGTGGACTAAAAGTCATTCCTGTTACTTTTAGTACTTAACCTTTTGTTTTTGTCAAAGTAGGGAATACAGATGGAAAGAGTGTGGAGAAAAGGTAGCACCGAACCTCACATCGACAGCCTCCTGGTACCAGGGTCCTCTGGACTCCCTTGGGCACCTTTCAGTTCCCCTTGAGACAGTGTCCTCTCAGATATGTCTCCAGGTGTGATCTTGGCTCCTGCGGAGCGAGGCCCTGCTTGCCAAACCCTCTTTCCTTAGGAATTTGAAGTCATGCTATTGTGGGAAAGTGGAACAGCTCAGGGCTATAGCCGAGCGCTACATCTGAGAGTCACAGCGAAGTGCCACAGCTCTGAGGCACAGCCAAGTGGTACAGCTCAGTGTTATAGGTCTGAATTGCAGCTATCGAAATTTGAAGATTTGAGAATCTGAAGGACACTCAAAAAGTTGGAGAAAAACCTTCTATTATGCTAGCGGCTCAGAGGCATTCATACTCTGAAGCCTGAGCGCTTCACCAGAAATGGGAGCCTCCTTATACAGGGATCTAGGCAGTAGGCGCCCGTGCTCATTGAAGCAGGCGGGTGGAGTTACAGAACATCCTGAAACACATACTGGTGAGCTTGCTCACAGAAGCGGAGGGGCCGAGATAATGGAACATTCCTGCAAGAGGGAAGAGCTAGCAGAACACTCTTGAAAAGTTGCACAGTTCAAACAGTTACAAGACATTTTGATACATTGGGTGGGAGTACTGCAGCACTAACTATTACATTTCTGGAACAAAACATTTTGTGGGAAAAAATGTGAACATAAGGCAAGGGCAAGTACGGGCCGGTCTTACTGTGTATTATTGCTCTTTCAACAGCATTTGCCACATACAGCATCAGGGGATGAGACGGTGTCAGAGGCCTCCATGGTCCAGATGAGGGACTATCAGTGCCAAACTGATCGCATCCCTCCGCCCTGTCCTCCACACAACTGGCATGTGAGGGGAATTCCCAGGCTCTGCGGGCTCAGTCCTTTTTTGGAAAAGAAAAAAGCCCTTTGTGACCCTTTTGTAGACAGCCCTCTCCTCCCCAGTCTTCCTCCGTCGCTCCGCTCCCTAGGGAATGACCTGCAGAGAGGGAAACCAGCTGGCACGCGCTGGCTGGCAGACAGCAGAGACTGTCTCGAGTGGGAGGCGGAAGCCAGGGCTGGGACTGCTCTGCTGTCAAGGACGTGGTCTCTCTCGGAGAAAGCTGAAGAGGCAGCTGCAGGCACTGCAGCATCTTACTTGCTCGGTGTCCTCCTGGTCTGGCCCACAGAAACTGACGGCCTGTGAGTAAAAGCTTACTGTGGGATGGGTGCTCCGTGCTGGGATGTTTTCCTTCTTTCTAAAGGAGGTGAGGGCATAAGCACAGGGTAAAAACCCAGAGTTCCTAACATTCTGTAATGCATTGTACAAAATAGTTGAGCAGAGGAGGAAAAATATCCCTGGGATGATTCTTGCCATGCCTTCCTCCTCATGTCACCCCTCATCTCTCTTCCTCTTCGTGGACAAATAAAGGAGAGAGATGGAGGGAGATGGAGAGGGTCCCTCTCCTAGGTCCCCCAGTTCTGATACCCTTAAGGAAAGTGAAGATTAATTGCAGGAGGAAACTCAGAGTTGAGAGCATCTCTGCGTAACACCACACAGGGAGGAAAACAGTCTCCTCCACATCTTCCCAGGGTTACCTGAACCCTTGGTAGATGATGGGGGATGTTGAGGAGTCACCTGGCAGCTGCTCCCAAGGTTGGGGGAGCACACATGCGGCAGGTCTTGAGGACTCCCACAAATACTTGGATGGAGCTTGATGGGGATGCTTCTGGGATATACCAGTAGGATAACAATCCACTTCTCATTCATAGGCTGAGATGGGCTTTACAGAAACCTCACATGCATGTTCTTATTTGCTCCTCATAACCTCCTATAAGATAGAAACAAGTGTAACAATCCTCCTCAGTACCAGGAGGGATTGTGCCCCACAACTTCAAGGCCACCTCAGCTCTTTCATCCTCAGAGAAGTATACTTCAGAAGCTATCAAGTTAAGATACATTCATGGCCTTGTGTCTTCTGCTCCCAGTTCTGAACAGGGGACAAATCAACTTCAAAGTTCAGCAGGGGTGGGAAGGATTGAGTGTCACATTAACAGATGTCCTTCCATACGGGAGAACTGTTGGAGCTTGTGAAAATGTGTTCCTGTATGAACAGATGTGCTACTGCACTGTCACTCTGCATCTACTAAGACCAAACCTTTGACACTGGCAGGAATGCCACAGTCTTCGGGGCTACTGAAGCTCAATTAGTTGGGATTTTCTAGGGAAAACAGTACCAGTGGGATCTATAATATATACAAAGTAGCCACTTAGCCACAGTTTCACTTTCCATGTTTTAGTTATCCACAATCAACCACAATCTGAAAATGTTAAATGGAAAATTCCAGAAATAAATAATTCATAGTATTATACAACTTTTATTACAATATGTTATTATAATCATTCTATTTTTAGTTATTGTTGTTAATTCTTACTATGCCTACTTTATAAATTAAACTTTAGAATGGATATGTATATATAGGGAAATATTGTATGCATAGGATTTAGAAATCAGTACTATCCTGAATATCAGTACTTTCTGCCACTTCTTGAGGATCTTGGATGCATCCCCCAAGATAAGGGGAGGACTGAACATAGAGGGCAGAGAGAGAGAGAGAGAGAGAGAGAGAGAGAGAGATGTAAATAAATTCCCTGCTCAAAATTAGATTATAAAGATTCATATTAGGATATCAATCCTTGGATCAGTTAGTAGTTCACAGCCATCTAGAAACTGTAAACTCTTCTCTGAGCCATAGTGATTCTTAACCATTATTTTTTGCATTGCAAACAAGATGAGGATGACTTGCTTCTTGATTCGATGAGTAGTAAACAAGTTTGCTGTGTACAATGCCCAGTGCTCTGGGGGATACACAGGGGGAAGACGTATGACATTTGTTTTCTGGGAGCTTAAAGTTTAAGTTGACGATGTCAAGGTGTAACATAATGAGTGCACTCAAGAAGATGGAAGGGACGTACTTCTGATGTACAGTCTGAAGAAGGCTCTATTCTAGTCACTCTTAAGGCTCAGTTAAATAGTATCTTGAAAAGTGAATAGAGTTTAACAGGCAGAGATCAAGAAGAACAATATTCCAGGATGAGTTGTGCTTGAGAAATGTTACTCTAGCCTTGTCAGAGTTGGGGTGTGTGTGTGTGTGTGTAGAGGGCAACCGATGGCCATTAGGGGCTTTCTGGGGGCTACAGGGAAGAAATAAAAAACTATAGAGAGACCTCAGTTGGAAAATTTAGATTATATTTACCTTGACAAGTGCATCAAATCCCATGCTGAAGAGTTTATAATGCCTATGGAAGGTAATGGGGGTGACTGGGTCTTTTAAAGAAGTGGAGGAGGAAAACACAGATCTTTGAAAAATCCTTCTGTCAATGTATGAAGGATGGGATGAAAGGAGTCCAGACACTGATGCAAACTTTTTGGTAAGAATTGGATGAGGACTGGACTGTTGCAAAGGAAGAAGTAGAAATGGATGCAAAAGACTCACTTGACAGCTGATAGAAGAAATTCTGGCAGGAGTGGAGGAAGTCAGTTGTGAGTTTTCCACTCATCTCTCTTTTAATTCTTGGTATATTCTGCCTCGTGTCAGGCTCTCTGTCTCTGGAGTCACCTCTGGATTGGAGGCTTGGTGAAAGCAGAGAGTTCCAGCTGTCACCTTTCGGTGCCCTGCAGTTTAGAGAGGTCATGTGAGCATAGCACAGAATGTTTGTGACAGTGAGGTCCCAGAGGAGAGGTGGTGGCATGCAAATCACATGAGCCAGGGTGTGTTTGTTGTTGTGTGGGTGTGATGCGTGATTCCAAAGCGAAACACTACAGAGCACACAAGTGTGGCTTGAACACCTACATGGAAAATTCCTACCCCAGAGGGAGAGTGGCCAGCTCTCCAGTGTCGCCATTGTCACTTCCCTCTGAACTGCCAGGGAGCCCTGGTCAGTTACAGGGGAGGGCCCGGCCTTTGACCTGTGCTGCAGTGGGTAAACTGAGAGGGCAGGCTGTCCAGGCCTCTGGTGGAGGGGAGCGCAGGTGCTGACTGCTTCCTGGCCTGGTGCTCACCACTCCAGCCACCACAGATGCCAGAAAAGCGCACAAAGGAATTCACCTTTGGTTATAGGTTTGTGGTGTCAACCACAGAGGCACTTGTTTATCAGGGTGAGGGCTGTGGTGAAAATATTTTTTTTATATTTGGTTTCCTTTTTTCTTTTTGAAAAAGTAAAGTATGTGAAAACTTTGTAGAATATAATTTAAATAAAAACAACCATTGTCCTACCAGTGAAGACAGCCAGTGCCTCATTTTCCTGAGCATGAGGGAGTAAGGTAGTAAAGTAGAAGGGAAAAGGTGCCTTAATGTGCCACTTAGCACACACCTGATGCACCATATACATGGTCATTGGCCTTGGTTCCATCAGTGAATCACTAGGGTCCTCATCTGGCTTTGTCTGCAGGAGGTCCTAGGGCTCACTTGAAACCTTTCTCTCTTTCATTGTCTGTGACCAATGGGCCCCCCCAGGCCAAAGGCAGCCTGTCCTGCATCTAACCAGTAGGTGACAAATCAGGGTCTGATCAGTGCTGTTTGGTTTTTTGACTGCCACATGGTGTCACTGTTGAAAACTCCTCACCAATCCTGTGATGTCCTCTCAGGTCTACAGCCTTCTCACTACTCCTGAACCCACACTCAGCTCCAAGGTTACAGCTCTCCAGTTCACTCTCTCATTCTAGAGTCTGGTTCCCAAAGCACTGCCATGAGTCCTGTTGGCCACACTCTGAGGCTCCTGCAGCCTCAGCTACCTGCTGTCCCAGAACTGACCTAGCCCTGTGCATCAGTCAGTGTTTGCTACAGAAACAGATATAACACAAGATATAAAAATACAGAAGAATTTACGAGATTGATTTACATTGGCCACCCACAGAGTCATATGAGGGAGAGTACAGAGGATCGTCTGCATACTGGAGATAGGAGGATTTAGTCAGAGATCTGGAGCTTACTGCAGTGTCCCATATGAGTCCATATCAAGAGGCCACTGGTCTGCAATGGAAGGCCAAAGAGTGCTCTAGAAGGCAGGAGATGGCTGCCAAGGCAAAGACGGGAGCTCCTTGGAAGGAACAGAAGCAGCCACGTCCTCCCTCATTTTCCCTTTGTGACAGTCAGGCATGAAGCAGCCCTAGTGTAAGTCCTCCACACCCTCGGATGTGAAAGAGCCAGGCTCGAGTGGATCTTCTACACTTTAGAGCATGGAATTGCTGAGCCCATTTAGCTAAGTTTCTCTTGACCAAACTTCTCAAATTGACACAGTCAGTCAACCATCACACTTTGCAGACCTCAGGCTCAGGTGAAGACCCTGGGCCCCAGCACGATGTCCTTCTGCCCTTCTTTTCTTTGTGCCCCTGGGAAACTTTTCCTAACCACAAAATATGATCGAGGCTTCTCCTGCTTTCCTCATTTTAAATCTCTCTTTTTTCTTTGTAATACTGGGAATTGAATCCAGGGCCTTTGCACTGCGTGATGGTCCCAGCCCCTTTTCAAGTTTTTTTATTTTTGAGACTGGTGTCTTATTAAGTCACTGAGTTGCCCAGGCTGGGCTCAAACTTTTGATCCTCCTTCTGCACCATCTTAGGAGTGTGGGATTGCAAGCATGCATTTAATCTTGAGAGAAATTCTGTAGCAATCAAGGCTACTTCCTTCCCAGAAGACCCTGAGTTTTTTGTGCCAATTAATTCTCCTTTGTCTTTGTTAGAAACCATCTCTGTATATCAGGGAATATGTGTCAGGCTATGAAAAGCTTAATTCTATTGCTCTTCAAGGAACAGGTCAGAAAACTAAGATCTCCTCCAACATGGCCAAGAAAACAAACTCAACAGAGAGCTACATGACTGACTGGTAAGTCCCTGCTCTGTCCACCTAAGCAGGGGAGCACAAGGCAGCTCCAGTGCATTGTCATGTGGAGATTTTCTTTTGAACCAAACAACACCCGCTCATCTCCTCACCCTCATACTGTCCTGGTGATCTGGGTCTTTCTGCACTCAGTGGGTGGGCTTGGATGCCAAACATCACTTCCCAGGGTGTTGATGGAGTACCCAGCTCCACAGATTTACAAAGCGGAAATCCTCCCAACTCAGAGCTGAGGACTCAATTTGAATAATGAGTATGGGTATATCACCGAGGTGTTCCACCTTCAAATGCATCCCACATCTTAT